AAAAAAAAAAAAAAAAACCACACATGACAGCCTTGTATTGCTGGAAGGTTCCCATTTGAATGCAGAGCAGACTTTAATAAAGTCTGCTTGATCAATTTCCCCAATTAGAATGTGAACCAGGAAGTCTACAGGCAACTCCCCCCCCTCATTATCCAGGTTGTAGTCCCTCCCTCCATCCATCCTCCACCCATGCAAGAAGATCAGGATGTAGAGAGGACAATTCCAGTTCTGAGTTTAGAAGCTTCACAAAAAGACATGTTGCAAAAATGTATCCACCTAGAAATGCTACAAGCAAAAGGAACACCTAGAGACAGTGAACATACATTAGGAAGAGTAGATCAGCTGAGTAACTACTTGCTGTTCCAATTAGCAGAGCTCAGTCCTAAAGCACTACATTTAAAATCGTTATAAGAGGAGGGGAGAGAAGTAAGTTAGAGAGCCAGAGACCACTTTCCCCACAGATCTTGCAGATCATCTTCATCTATGTATGTTCCCAGGCTGGACCACAAGCCTTCAAAATAACCGTTCTAGATTTTGAACATGTTACTGCTTGGTACAAGTTAATTCATATGGGATGGCTTAATATGAAAAGTTTGCCAAGAAAAGAAAAAAGGGAAAAAAGGAGGTGCTCAAAGCATTGCAGGGCCCCACACCAAAGAAAAAAAGTTGAGTATGGAGACAGAAGTACACCCCTATGCCCAAGTGGAAAAGGAGAGCATTTAATAAACCCTGCATTGCTGGCATCCGTGCACAGTGGAAGAAACAAGTATTTATGGAAATGCAGAAACTCATATAGGTTGTCATCACTGGTGTTAGTCCCTCTTAAAACAGTTTGATCCTCAGACACTGCCTTGCATAGGAGCAGCACGTCATGCTAAGCCAGCAAAGCTGGACCACTCCAGATACCAGCATATTCTTGTGGGATGGTAGTTTCTAGAGCAGCCTTTTAAAATGTCCAGACTAAAATGCAGGCAGAAGAGGTTACTTGCCATCACCCTGGAAACTCTAATACTTTTTGCTGTGCCAACAGCGACTTTAGATTCTCTCGAGGAATCTTTTCAGTCTGTGTTAAAGAGAAGTAAAATCTAGTCAACTTGAGTAGAGAGTTCCTCTCAAAATCAAAATAGCCCAACTGGCTTCTGTTGAGATGTTAAAAGACTTACCTTGGCTGTGAGAAACACATTGAAGTGCTCATTAAAGGAAAGCACTGGATGATCTGCAATTCTTTTCAAGAATTTATCTAAAGCTTTTCTCCTTGTTTCCACAAATTCTTCAGAAAATCTGTCAACAACTCCTTTCACAACAAACTTTTCAGGAAGAGGCTGTGAAGAAATAGACAGGTTTTTTTCCTTCCCCATTCTAACAAACAGAGAGAAACCACACATGCAACATGCTTTTACACAAGGCAGTTCCTAAACTAGCAAGGGCACATGCAACTACACACCTCTTGCCCACAACTGACACTTAAGGGGAACTGTGTGCATTTAAGTGGGGGGGGGCGGGCAGGGTGAGTTCTGCTCAATTGCCCCTCATGGGTCCGAACTAGGATTTCACTGGAGTCATTTCAGAGTCTTATCAGTGTAGCAAGACTAACATAGGCCCAGGGCCTTTGTACTCTGAATGCTCTTCTTGTGTGGGGCGAGGTGACAGAACTTCCATCTTTTACTCAGTTACCTATATTTAGGCTTCTGTTCTTGAAACCACTTGAAACGTAAGAGTCTTGGAGTACCAGTCATTGTAAAAAGGAACTTGTGCCATATACTTACCTGCTGTCCCAAGTGCAAAAGCTTTTCTGAGTCAATGCCTTATGAAGATAACTTTGTGAAAAACCCTAAAGAAGTTTGGAGAAGCAGTCAAGAGGGCATGCTTTGGAACAGGTTGGAAGAAAAAGAAAATTTTAAAAAAGGGGAAAGCATTGAGCTAGGTTGTAGGTGTAAAAAGGCAGTCTGTTTGAAGTACTAAATATACATAGCGCCCCAGGTGTCAGCATCGTCTAACAGCACTCTGAAAATTAAGTTTCTTCTTTGAGGAAGAAAAAAAGTGGGGGGATAGAAGGAGATTCTCCTATTCCCATCTTTCTCCCCAACTAATTCTGCAGTGCCCTAGTCCTTCAATATGGGCAGGGAGAACACAGACTATTTTGAAGGTTAAAACACACTAGCTCTGGAATTTGCCATTTATTAAAAATGAGCAATTCTGCTCCCCGCTAAGTAATTTGTTCAGGTTTGTTACAAAACACAAAATTTTGTGGATCCATCTGTAGCAGAATCAGCTCAGTCCTGCCATCAGATGTACTGTGTATATATATATATATATATATATATTATATCTGCTATACCAACATGGATAATACAGCCCCTTTTTTGTTGAGAGGCAAGCTATTTTATAGTTACATCAATATTCAGAATAAAAAAAGTAACTGTTTCACTGTTATTTGTATGAGCAGAGGCAGTGCTTAAGCATTTTCACAACAAACGGTAGACCATCCCATTCATTTAGTAGAAGTCTACAAATTATGAAACAGCGCTGACATTAAAATATATAGTTTAGATCAAAATAGTGTGATCTGAAAATTAACATTTATAGTTCTTAAGAGTGGAAAAGCACTAGAGTCTATGCAGATCATAAGCTACTCTTAGAGCTCTGATGCATCACTTGTGATCGTCTCCCTATGAGACCCTGTCTCCTTTTACCTCAAAATTGACAGGAGGGGATCTTTAGAAAGAAATGAAATGCAAGGACTTCCAATGTGGAAACAGTGCAAGCCCGCTGCTAGTATGTAATTGGGTCATTTCCTCAGCATCTTAATTGCTGCCATATGGGAATGAACTAGAGGGAGTATTGCAATTTGTTAAGAGGGGATTTGCCAAGGTTGGTAGAGCTATCCAAGACTGCTGTGACAGATGTAGTTAAAAAAAATTTAAACTAGGTTAACCTGGAAACAAATCATGTTGATAGACATGTACAGAAAACAAAGGAAATAAGATAATTTTCATATATGTATATGTAACCATGCCTTGAGCAGTTCTGCTTCGAGTATTAGAAGCAGAACTTTCTTGCTAGTTAGATTAGGATAATTCCTAAACTTTAGACAGAATAAACTATTTCAAAAAGAAAAAAAGGGATATCAGGTGCTGCAGAACTGCACATTAGCTCAACTATAAAAACTGAACATGAACATGCATGGGGCAGGGTGGGAGTGGGGAGTCTGCAAAATTAGTTTTCTGGTTTAGGATATTTAAGGGCACCCTTGATTCAAAAGCAGGGGAGCAAAGGGTCAGGAAAACAGCTTGCAGGTAGTTTCTCTAGACCAAACAAGGAGACCATTTCTATTCATGTAAACATGGATACCAAGAGTTAATAAGCAGCCAATAATGCTTGTGGTACATCAAGACAAATGTTTTTTTAAAAAATCATCCTGCAGCACTTGCTAGACAATCCTGCCAACATTACAACTAATCTTTGGCAATACCCAGTATAAATGCAACCTAGTAGAAAATCCAGTGCATATTCTGAAGAGTTTTAATTTAGGCAGCTTTAGCTTTGGCATGTTTCAAGTCTAGACTTTTTTTTTTTTTTTTTTTTTTTTTTTTTTTTTTTTGCCTGTAATCATCCAGGTCTTATAGCTTCTGGTATTTAATATTCAGATCTCAGGACAGATGCTTGATGCCTCTTCCTTTAGCATAAGGAAAGCAGACTTACTGAACAAGGGGGAAAGGTATCTAATGAATTCTTGTCCAGGATCTCTATTTAAAAAAGTGTTTTTACAGATGCAGAACTATATACAAGAGCAGCTTCTCTCCAAGTTAATACTGGACTAAAAACAGTACAGAACTGCAGTGATGTTGCATAGGTTAACTGAATTCTACTTCATTACCCTTATACAACCCCATACACTTCACTGACTTACGCAAGTGTAAAAGGATTTTGTTTTAGAAGCTGGAGGAGTGCAGAAAATTCATTAAATAAATGGCTCAAATATACTAATCCTGCAACCATCTAAGGAACTACGGTGCACAGGCCAGATCCTTGGGCAGGGGAAGGGGAGTTCTTTTCAACTGCTAGCAGACATCCTCACGCCAGAGGTATCTGGTACCACCAATCAGCAGCAAATACATTTTATGAGTTACAATTCAAAGTGACTGATTCTAAACAAAACAAAAAACCCCCAACACTTATGCTTTTGCTGCAAGTCTGCAATCTTACTTGAAGGGCAGGACTCCCAGAGAAGCCTTTCAGCAGATGCAGAGAGGGTAGCTGGCCAATAGCTACACTGTTCCACAAAGTCTTCCCCAAAACTTCTTACTACAGCATTCTGCAGCCTCCCTTCCCCCACTTCGTGTGGAGCCAGTCAAAAGGCAGGTGCTCTGGCTTACTGCAGTTACATCACAGTGGACTTGAACTTGCAATGAGTTTTTGCCTGGGTTTGTAGAAGACATCCAGTGTGTGTGTAGAATACTACTGAGACTTAAGGGGAAGGCTGAACCATGACTACATGGCCTGCCCGAAGCTGTTGCAGAACTGTATCAATACTTTGTGCATCCTTATTTCAGTGGAATAAAATTACCCACTGCTTCTAGTTTCCCCATCATTAATCTCCACCCTCATACAGCCTAGTTAGATTATACTGCCTGACCTTGCTTGCCATCATCTCTACACTGATCATGTTGGAACACTGCTGATCTGCCACATGACCCTGGAGGGGCAATGTTCCCTTTGGTATGGCCATAGTCAAGAAGCTGGAGGAAAGGGGGGGGAGCAAAGGGGAAACATGATCTAGAATCATAGAATCAGTGAGTTGGAAGGGACCTAGACAGATCAAGTCCGACCCCCTGCCATGGGCAGGAATGAGCACTGGGGGTGGGAGGTATATCTACTTAATATATTTAGTCATAGGCTGGCACCCATTTCAGGATTGGAAGTCTTTGCGTTTCATCCCATCATTTCTTTTTAGAACTTGGAGCCTACAATTAGAGAAAAACCCACCAACAAAACAGGGCAGTTGTGGCTATTCTAAAAAATAGATTCTCTTAGCAAAAATGAATAAGACATTGATTTTAAAACAACCCCTGCTACACACCACCTTAACATACAGTCAAGGCTGTCCCCCACTTCAGACTCTGAAGCCAAGGCAGTTCAGTCCTAGAGCAGGCCACCCCTCCTGCAAGTCTAGAAACTGTGACAGTTTGTGGGAAAGACGCAGAGGGACAGGGAAGGGAGACCATCCACCAAGTCAGCAAATATGATCTTTACTGTGCCTATTACCTTGAACATGCTTCTACACACTGATGCAGCCTCAGCGTCCCAGAGTGGAACAGGTTAGGGCAGGGGAAGTGGCTAGTTATAATCTGCAGCCTGTTCTGCAAAGTCTAGGTATGCAGCTGGCTGATTTGAGGGCATAATGCTGAAATAGTTTATGTAAGATTAAAAGAAAAAAAGCAGAAGACAGACTGATGCAACTGGACAGCAATAAAAGATAATGGTATCACACAAACAAAAGAGACCCAACCAATGAAATAACTAAAATGGATGGATATAGCTCCAGTGGTCCTCTAAAGCAGTGGTCTCCAAAGTGGGGTGTGCACAAGACGATCCATTGGGGTGTGGGAAGAAAATTAGAACTTCTATTTATATAAATATACATATATTAGGGGTGTGTGCTGAAAAATTTTTTACTCATAGGGATGCGTGATCAAAAAAAAAAAGTTTGGAGACCACTGCTCTAGAGTACTAGATGAAGTCTATTACTCAAGTCATCTTAATATCACAAGCCCTCCCTGGAAACTCAGAAGGATGCTTATGTTTCTAGAGAGTGCACAAGAAATTCAGAATTTTGTTTAGCCACGCTTGCAGAGGGCTAGTACAGAGGTCTTTGCTATCTGTGTAGCCACAGCAAATGCATGTATAGTTGTGGTCAGACCATGGACCTCAAATGGGACAACTGGAAGCTTTGATGGCACAGATGGCCTGGACAGTTTTAAAACTGCACTTTTGGTACACGCTCTTTCAAAGATCTGGTCATAAAAAGAAAACTCTACTATTGGAGGCTGGTCATTTGTAGCACACTGGTATGCCAACTCACAAAAAAAAATCCTAGAAGTGTAGTACCCTTAAGCATTTCTTGCCCGCTCTCTAGTACACAGGTAACAGGAGTATCTGAATGCAGCAGGTGGGCAAACAGAATGGCTAAAAACTCATTTTTATTTATTTTTAAAGAAATGCCAGATGACAACACTACTGCTGGAGCAGTGACAGCCTAGGATGGTTTATGCTACCCTCACATGAAGCAAGCCTTCAGACAGAACATATGACAACATTTCAGGAACGGTGAAAGTAGCTCTTTTGCTTCTAAGGCCGTAATGTTCCGCTCTGGCGGAGAGAAACTGTACACACCTTTAAGTCCGATAAAGCAACAAAAGACTTTCCACAGAGATATTCAAATGCAGACAATGTTCAACAACAGCTGACACTACCTACGGGAATGAGATGGGTGGGCTGCGATTCTTCCAGCTTATTCTTCAACCAATCAAAATCCTGATACCGCCGGCGTACCGAGTATTCTGGCAAATCAAACTCTGCCCTTGTGGTCTAGGAGAGGAAAGAGACAGGCTAGTCAGTATCTCAACAAAATTGAAAAAATGCAGAGCATATAGCTAAAAGCTACAAGCTTGCCTTGAACTGGGGTGAATGCAGCAAGCTCTGCAATTCATACCTTGTACCCCACCCTTAGAAGGCCAAGACAGGACAGTCATTTTTGTTACCCCCCCC